GGCACTTATTCCTAAAAAGATTGAAGATTTTGATATTTTGATAATATATTAGGCCTCTTGATAATTGGAAAATTCAAACTGACTTGAAGAAGAAGGAATTTATTGGTACATACAACTGAGAATACTGAGTTTAAACATGGGTGGGTCAAGGGACTCTAACATTGTCATTAGGGGAGTATTACTCTTCTGTTTTAGTCTGTTAGCTTTATATTCTGGCAAATTTTCCTTAAAAGCGGCAATTATTGGGGCACCTGGCTGGCTTGGCCAGTGGAATGTGAGACTCTTGCTCTCAGGGTTGTGGGTTTGGGCCCCATGTTAGGTTTAGAGATTACTTGAAAATAAAACCTTAAAAAAAGGGATGGCGATTATAATTATCAGCAGTTGCAGGCTTATCTGATCAGTTTAGTCGTGGTGGGAGGAAGGTAGGGAGAAGGGGCGTTCTTCTACTAATAGCTTCAACCAAAGTAGCATCAGTCAAAGTCCTGAGATCAAATCCTTTTGGCTTAGTTTGGGTAACATGCTCAGAACCAATCATTGTGGAATAAATATAGAAGGATGGAATGCTCTGGGCCAAGTCTGTGTCATCTTAACTCCTAAAATTAGTGCTGCGGACAGGATAGAGAGTTAGGATTGAGGTCAGCTCTGTATGAACCACATGAAGTAAAAGTAAAGGGGATGGAGGTTTCTCTAAAGGAACATCAGAACTCTTTTGTTACTATAAACCAGGTAGGGAATATTCACTGTAGTATAAAAATGTGTAATCACAGGGCGCCTGGGTGGCTCAGTTGGTTAAGCGACTGCCTTCGGCTCAGGTCATGATCCTGGAGTCCCGGGATCGAGTCCCACATCGGGCTCCCTGCTCGGCGGGGAGTCTGCTTCTCCCTCTGACCCTCTTCCCTCTCGTGCTCTCTATCTCTCTTTCTCTCTCTCTCAAATAAATAAATAAATAAAATCTTTAAAAAAAAATGTGTAATCACAATACTGCAGTGGTAGATTCTCTGTCTTAATTGAGCAGTTCTCAAATATTTTTGCATATTTAATCCTTTGAGAAACTTTTAAACATTTTTTTTTTTTTAGAAAGGGGTAGAGGGAGGGGCAGAGGAAGAAGGAGAGAGTCTTAAGCAGACTCCATGCCCATCGTGGAGCTGCTGTGGGCTTGATCTCACGATCCTGAGATCATGACCTGAGCTGAAATCAGGAGTTGGATGCTTAACTGACTGAGCCACCCAGGTGCCCCAGGAAGCTTTTAAATATCTTGATGCCTTGGCTGTACGCAAGACCAATTAAATCAAAATTTCTAGGGGTAGTACTTATGCCTCTGTTTGTTTTATTAAGTTTCCAGTTTGATTTCAGTATAGAGCCAAGCTGCAGAATTGGATCATTGTATCAGTGTTTCTCCACTTGATCTTAGCCAAAAGGCCGAGAAGCGATATATATCAGTGTTTCCCAAACTTTGCAGTGGATTGAGATCACCTGGAGGTCTTGTTTAGAATGCACAGTGCTGGGGCCCACCCCCAAAGATTGTGATTCAGTAGATCTGAGGTGGGGCCTCAGACATTACTAGGTAGCACAATGTTAATAGGTCCTAGAACTGTACTTAAAGAGCATTACATTAGGGCGCCTGCGTGGCTCAGTCAGTTAAGCGTCTGCCTTCGGCTCACGTCATGATCCCAGAGCCCTAGGATCTAGCCCTGCTTCAGGCTCCCTGCTCAGTGGGGAGTCTGCTTCTCCCTCTACCTTTTGCCCCTGCTCGTGATCTCTCTCTCAAATAAATAAATAAATAAATATATATTTTAAAAGAGCATTACATTAGCTTGTGAGCATCTTCCAAATTAACCAGTTTTAAGTTCTTTAATTTATAGATTACTATTAAGTCATTTTCTCACCTACTAGTCTATATAGACTGTTCGGTAACTTATTTCTGTTTTGTGTGCTTATTCTTATGTTAGCATCTGCTGTTCTTGGTTCTACAGATAACAAAAGATAGCATGGATACAAGTATACACAGTTTCAAATTTTATTGTTGAATCAAGAAGATTGATTCTGACATAAAATCTTAACGTTTGTTCAGGAAATTTGTCTTTAACACAGTTCTAGAAATTAACTTCTATAACCCATTTATCTGCCCAGTTACCTTTTTACTTTAGTCCCCTTTTGTCCTTTAACCTCAGTGACTGTAGAGGATCAAAATTCAAAATGTATCTCTGATTAATGTCTAATATGGGCCTTGAAATCATTTATAATTGTGTATTGGTCCTAACCGTGTTTATGTAATCAGAATAGACCACCTGCTTCCAGACACTCAACCTCTTTTGGACACAGTATTTATTCACTGAATTGATTGTAGGTGTTTCTTCCTACTGATGCTTTAAACATTTGTTTGCCTCTCCTTGTGAGAGTTGACTTGACAAATTATTTTGAATCTTAGGTAAAAATGAAATCGTGTTATAAAATGAATGCACACCAAGTTAGTTTACTCATGAGTAGACGTGAACCCTATGATGCTTAACATTTTCTTTTTATGCTGTTTTGTTTTAAAACAGGCTAATAGCACGTCAGCTTGCTAAAATCCATGCTATCCATGCACACAATGGCTGGATTCCTAAATCTAATCTATGGCTAAAGATGGGAAAATATTTCTCTCTCATTCCCACAGGATTTGCAGATGAAGACCTTAATAAAAGGTAAATTTACTTTTACATTTGAAATCGTTTTACCTTGTTTTGCTACAAAGTTGCAGAGATAGCTTACAAGGTTTTTGTGTATATAATCTGGTTTGGTTGCTGTCTTTGCATTTGATTAAATTAGCACTGATTTATTTGACTCTTAGGTGGCACTACATTAATATAACTGTCTCTCTCCCCTGGCCAATTCAAAAACAAAACAGAACAGCAGCAACAACAAAACACAGCCTACAAAAGCCTGGGGTAGGGGTGGGGAGTGGGTAGAGGTGGCCAGCCAAGAAACAAATATAGAACAATTATTTGGAAGTAAACATAATATAATGATTGCTATGAATGGTGCTTTTTGCACAGAATGAGTTGGCCATGGAGCCCTTTTTAAAATAATTCTTTTCAAAGCTGTTTTAAATAGGCCTAGAGATTTGCATTGGGACAGTGTAGTAATATTAGAGTGTGAAAAAGTTTGGATTGTCTTAGTTTACGGAGACTATACAAGTCCTAGATAATGAGGTTGAAAATTCAATTACTGGAGTCTTACTCAGCTTTTGTAAAACTGACTCCCCAGGTTCCAAGTAAGGTATTTTATTATTTTTTATTAAAAAAATTGTAACTTAGCATTTAGAATCTAAATTATATGGACATGTTTTTATAGTGATTACTACTAGTACAAAAATTAGGAATTCTTTTTTCTCCTTTATATCTAAAACATACTCCCAACTTGTATTCAGGAATTTTTCATTTTAAGAACAGTAGAGACAGGCAGGACCTATAGAGTTTTTCTTGTTTCTTTTTACTTATTATAATTCATTAGAGAAAAATAGCTGTATTGTTCTGTTGAGTTACTATTTCAGAGATTAGTTTGATTCACTCAGTGTATGTGTTTTTATTTGCAGGTAGTTTGTCAAACTTTGAATTTGATAGGGATAGTATACCCTTTTAACTCGGATAGGCAAACATCTGTAAATGTGTCCAATGTGCTAAATACTCAAGAAATGACAGCATAAAACCACAAAATCCTCTTTTGAAATAACTATTTTATTGAAAAATTTAAAAATAATGAAATATATGGCAGTAGTGAATGTATGATTTTCTTGACTTTTTTTTTTTTTTAAAGATTTTATTTATTTATTTGACAGAGAGAGACACAGCGAGAGAGGGAACACAAGCAGGGGGAGTGGGAGAGGAAGAAGCAGGCTTCCTGCCAAGCAAGGAGCCTGATGTGGGGGCTCGATCCCAGGACCCTGGGATCATGACCTGAGCCGAAGGCAGACGCTTAACAACTGAGCCACCCAGGCGCCCCTGATTTTCTTGATTTTTTAAGATAATGCGGAGTTCAGAGGCAGTATTGTGTTGTGTGGGTGAAGAGTACAAGACTCTGGAGTCAGACTGCCTAGGATGAAGCCTTAATTCCGCCAGTTAACAGTTCTGCTGTGTAACCTTGGGCAAAAGTAAAATGGAAATAATAAGAGTAGTATATTTACCTTTTAGAGTTTTTTATGAGGGTTAATTGAGTTATTATATACAAAGTATGTAGAACAGCGTGCAAAAAGCACCCTGCCCTAATACATAATATACAACTAAAACATTAAAAACAATTAAAATATTAAAAATCTGGGGGCGCCTGGGTGGCTCAGTTGTTAAGCGTCTGCCTTCGGCTCGGGTTGTGGTCCCAGGGTCCTGGGATCGAGCCCCACATCGGGCTTCCTGCTCGGCGGGAAGCCTGCTTCTCCCTCTCCCACTCCCCCTGCTTGTGTTCCCTTCTCTCATTGTCCCTCTCTCTCTCTGTCAAATAAATAAATGAAATCTTTAAAAAAATATTAAAAATCTGTTTCATATTCTATTCCTGTTTGTATGTGATTGTAATTACCATGTTCAATCCTTTCAGTTCTATTATTTCTGTTCAGCTCTGTATCTTTTAAATAGATTTTTGAACCGTAACAGTTACCATCTTGAAAAGAGTGTATAAGGATTACTTTTGGTAGCTGTGTGTAGAGAAGAATACAGTAGTGGGAAAATACAGGCAGCAACCACCTGAATAGGCAAATTCATTAAAGTTAAGTTCATTGATAGAGAATCTTTATTATATTGTAAAATGGAAAAGTAAGGCTATAATTTGAGAGACTGTAGGGAAAGAATGAAGAAAGCTAAGGTTAAAGTGTTAAGGGAAGAAAAAGCATAAACTAACAGCAATTTTGTAAGCCAGATGGTGCTATTGAGGAATGAGTGGTAGCACTCTATTTTTGTTTCATTTTCTTTTTATCAAATGAATATAAATATAATGTAATAAATAGTACAGAAGAGTGTAGAATTAAAAAGCCATGATCTCCAATCCTGTTTGCCACTCTACCTACCATACTTCCCTGTCTCACTACTCTGAGACAATTTCTATAATAGATAATGGAGTATTCTGTGATATGATTGTCATAGATAATATCTGATGATTATCAGAATTGATTAGGTTTATCAATAGTAGATCATGTCTGTTGACTTTGATAGGTAAATTTAGCTGACTTGTACTGCATTCACCCTTCAAAGCTTGAAATAGATGTTTTAGTTCTTTAATAAACTGTCTTTATAACTTTAATATACTTAAGCCTCTTTTTATTAAACTCTTTGTGTCTTGGAGATAAATGTAAGACATTTAGAATAGTGCTTAGTAAATGTTAGCTATTAAGTATATATATTACTTTCCTTCCCCAATTTTGTAATAATAGATTTTTTGCTTTTCTGCCCTGTATTTTAACTTGCTTAGTTTCATTTTATTCATATTCAGCTCATTAAGTAAAGATTTTCCTTTATTCCAACTTGCATAATAATTGGCTTGTTTTAATTCAGGAGTCTATGCAACTGAATGGAAAGAATTTACTAAAAATAGATTTTAATCTTTAAACTTGAAAAAGGTCATTAATATAAACAATATATAATGCTTTTTTTTTTTTTTTTAAACTAAAAGGTTCTTAAGTGATATCCCAAGCTCTCAGATTCTTCAGGAAGAAATGACTTGGATGAAGGAGATTCTTTCCAACCTGGGCTCACCTGTTGTGCTGTGCCATAATGACCTATTGTGTAAGAATATAATCTACAATGAGAAACAAGGTAGGTATCTGACCTTAGCAGTAAGTAAAGTTGATTTCTTCGATGTTCTTAGTGTTCCTTTGATCTTTGTATCAGTAAATTTAATTCAGATATAAGGATTAAAAACATTCATGAAGTCTTTAAAGATTTTCTTTATGTTATAAAGTCATGGTAACTGTGCTAAATTAGGAATATATATTCTCTATATATTTGTATAAAATATGCTTCTTAGAAAGTTTGGTTCTTGTTAAGAATTTTAAATGAAAAATGATAAAATGACTTTGTTTTTAAATTCAACTGTGAAACCTATTTGGTAATTCATGGTTTGAAAATGTACCTGCTTATAATGGGGGTTATTGAAAAACCAACTGACATTGCACTGCTCTTAATAAGTATAGGATTTTCTCAGTATTGGGAAGGACAGCAGTATTATCAGGTTTTCTATTACCTGTTTATTCTGATTTGTTCGATATTTTGATGCTAAGGAGAGAGCCACAGGTGGAGGAAGTGTTACTTGTACTGGTTGAAATTTATATCTATTAAAGTAGTAATCAAGAAGCTTTGGTAAATAGTTTTAACATTTTTTTAGGTATAGATAGTGATACATTTTGGTGAAATGTTTTCTGTGATCATATCTTGCTGTATTCAAATTCTCTGTTTCCATATTTAAGAGACACTGGTTGTATTATATTATTGGATAAAGTGGTTTGAGGTTTGGTTGCTAAAACATAGATGCCCCTTCAATGCTAAATTGAAATTTGAAAATATAATTTTGGTTGAAGGATTATTAATTCAAAAAGTTTGAAACTATGAAACTTGCATTTTAAAGGAAACCAGTTTTGAGTATAGTCATTATAGTTGGAAGATTATTTTCAATCAAGATTGTGTTTTTGTGAAGATACTAAAGCCAAACAATTCTGATTTAATGGTCATAATTCTATGAAATTACTATCATGACCATTCTTAATAGATTTTAAGTTGAGACTGTTCTAATGCAAAGGTTGTTAATATTGTAACTGACTTTAACTTGAAGAAAATCCACCAAAGAGCACTGTCAAGGATGGTAGACTGAAGCGCATATTCTTAAAAACATGTTTGAGTATCTTTTATAGCTTATATTTTAGTATGGATTAGAGATTCTATTTCTTAAGAATACATTGAGCTGACATCTTTATTTTGAATATTGTGAAGTCTTTGTGTGGAAGCACTTTTTTAAAAAAACTTAAGGTGTGTCCTAAACCATGGAGTACTTGACAGTGTCCTTTATTATTTATTGTCCATTTATTTTTTCTAATTGCTATGTATATATTACTTTATATACTAGTAACCAAATCTCAATGCCATTTGTGAGACAGAAGTATTAGTTATACATTAAAGCGATGTATTAGCTTTTTTAAGTTCAGAGCAAGACCAAATAACACATTCTATATAATGGAATTTCAAGTGAGGGACTTCATCTTACGTTTGAAGTGGACACTCAGCTTTATTTTTAACTGCAAGTTAATCAGAGAATCTGTTATTTCCTTTGGAATATATTTTAACTTTTCATATTTTTATTTTATAAGTTTCTTTTGCATATTCATTTCACAGAGCAAACTTATAAAACTAAAATATAAGGGACCAAAAAAATCAGATTACTTTGTCTTAGGTATTAAAAAAAACGCATTTTTACTTTTAATCAGTTGCCTATCTAAATTGTTTATCAGTGATATGAAAAGTTCTCATATTTTCAAACAAAATCTTTCTGTTTCAGTTTGACTCTTAAGATTTCAAGATTGTCACTTGCTTATTTTACCAAGAGTTACCTAAGTCATATTTTTGTGTCTAATTTTTCTTCCCTACACAGAAGAATGAATTTCACAGTTCAACAAATGTAACTATTTTGATATTTTTTTTTAGAGTTTTCCTTTCTTCAAGGAGTGTATTGTATAATTTGTTTCTTGTCTTTGTGGTTATATTTGTGTGTTATGGATATGTTCTTTTTCCTTACCAGTGGTTTTATAGTGTCTTTTAGGAAGGCAAGTTTGGACTTTGTGGCATCCATTAAAAAAAAGAATCAATTGCTATGTGATTAGTTGATACATAGCATTAAGAAAATACGGTTGGAATGTTCAAGTAAGAATCTAAAACTCATGAGAGTGTGGCAAGAGCTTTGTTCTGTGTATTGTCTAACTTTCAAATTAGGAGCTAATGGTTTTGAAGTAATATAACTATGACATATTTGCCTTTAGTTATAAGGAGAAGATACCATGCCTTGTGCTTAAAAAATTGTAAACTCTATAAATTTAGTAAATTTAATGAACAAAAAGATTGTAGCATTAGTACTTACAGCTGCAATCTCAAGGAGGATAATTAAAATTAGAAATAGGGACTGCAAAAGTTCTTTACCTTAACTGGTTAACTTGTTACAGTATCTAAAAGCCAAGGGTGAAGTCTTTGGAGATTAAAACAATTTCTACATAGAATAAGTGATTAAGCTGCATATTCTATTCACAGATGTGTTTAATTTGTTATCACTTGTTAAGTCATTCGTGTGATCTGAGTACAGGACTTCACTATTTTGTACCTACTTGAGTTAAAAATATGTAAACATAATAAGATGAAAGCTGAGGGATTGGCTTTAACATCATCAAGGTTAGTATCTCTCTGTAGTATGTTTCAGACCCTTCATTTCTCAGAAGTGCAGATTTTAGTTAAACTTCATGAATTTATACTGGATCAACTTGTAGTCTCCATATGTAATTTTCAACCATAATAATTTAGATTTTGTTTATTGTCATCAGGTTAAACATTTCTAAGTAACTTTTTTTTTTCCTAAGTAACTCTTAAAAGCAGATCTATTAGAGCTTAGTTACAACTAAGAGAAGTTAGAAAGAATGTACATGTTGGAACCAGGCACACTTAGGTTCACATCCCTGCTCAATCACATATAGAAGTAGGTGATACTAGACAAATTATTTTATCTTTTTTTTTTTTTAAAGATTTTATCGTTAAGTAATCTCTTACACCCAACGTGGGGCTTGAATTTATAACTGCGAGATCTAGAGTCACATGCCCCACTGATTGAGCCAGCCAGGCATCTGCATTTTCTCTCTTTATTAAGTGTTTATATTTGATCCTTGACTTTGCACCAGAATCACCCAGGGTACTTGGAAAAAAATGTAGATTTGGGGGTCCCATCTAAGGCTAACTGAACAAGAATTTCTGTAAATGGGCTTAGGAATCTGCATGTTTAACATGTTTCTATGCACTGCTTATACTTTTTGATAATCTAGAACTTTTAATTTACTTTATTTCTAACTTAGAGGTAATATCTACTTCAGATGGTTGCTGACAAAATTTTAGATAATGTATATAAAGTACACAGATTGCAGTAGGTACTTAGCAGCTCACAGCTGCTGCTATTATAATAGGGGTTGGCAAACTTTTTTCTGTAAGGTGTAGATAGTACATATTTTAGGCTCTGTGTACCATATTACAGTCTCTGTTGCAGCTGTTCAACTCTGTTGTAGCACAAACACAGCCATAGAAATACATTAATAAATGTATTCCACGCTATTTACAAAACCACACAGTGGGCTGGATTTGGCCTGAGCATACATAGTTTGCCAACCCCTTTATTATTATGTTTGCAGGATGCATTTTACAATGTGCTTGATTCTGAAAAAGTGAAAATAGTTACTATAAGCCAGTGGTTGACTATGTCTTATAGCTAGGGGAATTATGGCTCATACGTATGAGATGACAATTCAGTTTGTCTTTTAAGTACAGCTTACAGATTTTATCTTAACTATAACTTGAGTGAGTAAAGTTTAAAAATGTATATATGTATGTGTGTATGAATATATAAGTACATATTTATACACACACACATACACAAAGACTGTGAGCACCTGCAGTTTATAGGCTTCTGCACCTGGGAATGTTACTGGAGATGGTAGGCATCACAGGAAGAAATACTGCCTCTACCTCTTCTCACCGTGTCAGTTGACAGGACACAGGAATATGGGAGAAGAGTGAGCTTCCTTTCTGAAGGTAATGTGGTAGCTGTCAAGATTTTTGAAAAGTTAGTGCCAGGAATTAGGTGGTTGGTAAACAGCGGCCCCATTTCTTGCCTTTGGTGAAATGACATCTTAAAAAGGTAAGGGAAGAATACTTAATGATATGATGATAGAATTTATTATATAATAAGAGAACTGGAAGCAGTGTTCTTGCTTCCAGATCTGTGAGTCATCTTTTAAATTAATCATTAATTTAAAAAAGAATTTATATTAAGTAGAACAAATTGTAATATTGCTTATAGACTAACTGACTTCAATTCTAATATAATTTCCACTAACCCTTTAACTGCTGCCATGTTAGAAGTAATTGCTAAAGCTTTTGAGTATGTTTTCTCACGTCTTGGTGCTCTCTCTGAATGTTTATTGGTAGCTGTTTCATTTCTCTCCCTCTCCCCATTTCTTCATTAAAAGCTTATATAAAGATCTAATATAGAACTTTAAATTTCAATAATGGCAGTCATTGATTATTTTCCCTGTCAGTGAAATACAAGATGCTGATTTACAGCTATTTAAAGAAATACACATGAGTGGAAGAAAAAGGAAGCTTTTTATGGGAATTACAATATAAACCAGGGTTTTCTTTAGAGTTTACACACTGTAAAGAGAAAATGTGTGAGGCACCATTCTCAATCACTCAGTTGGCTCTAAATCTTACCCACTCTAGTTATTATTCAAAGATATTGTGGTTTGGTTGTTTCATTGATATTTTAATGACATAGTTTTTTGTTGTTGTTGGTTTTGTTTTAAAAGCTATTTAAGTAAATACAAATGTATTTTTGTATTTGGTGGCCTGTATTTTCCAAGGTGGAGTTTTTATGAAGGATAGTCTTAACCTTGTTTTAACTTGTATTCTAGATTACTATTTAGCATCAAATAAAATATCCTTAAATCAGGTTATTAAAAGCTTAAATGGACTGTAAAAGCCTAAACTATTAACTAAACTCTTAAGGAAGAGCTGCCTAAAATAGTTACTAGTTTAATGTTTTTTCTTTATTTACTCATACGTTCATTCCCACTATATGTTCAAGCATATACGTGGATGAGAATGTCAGAAATGCCATACTTTGTTTTTAGTGTTTAATGCTTATTCCTTCTTCCCTACCACCCATTTAAATAATGTGTGTTATCATTGTCTCAGCATTCTATGCAAAGACCTCCATTGATAAGCATTTTAATACTTACTGTGTGCTAGAGATTACTCTGTGGATTGCATGATTAAAGATGAAAGGGACCTATTGTCCTTCCAGGAAGCCATATTCCATGTAATGGAGGAGTCAGATCATGAAACATATTTACATTCAGAATGATGAGTGCTGTGGTGAAGGTATACACAGGTACTACTGGATGCCGGAGTGAGGGATGAAGGGAAAGTTTCTCAGAGCAGAATATTCCCTTTCTCTGTATAAGAGAAAAAGCAGTTTGCTAACAGTAGTGTAATTGTGGTTATTTTTTCTCTTTGTTCTCTTTCTGCCTTACCTAACAGCTGCAGAGCAAGTAGAGTGACTTGAAAAGGTTTTCAAGTTCTCATATTGGTTATTTTGCTTTTTATTTTTATCCTTTTCTCCTTAACAACAAAATAAGGGAATCCAAACAAATGTAGCATGTGAATTTTATAGCCTTAGTTAAATAAACTAATTTTTTGGGTTTTAAAGTACTTTAAAAATTGGCTGTTTTCAACTACACTGAGATTTGAACAATTAAACTCAGTAATGTGTGGATTTCATTTCTGTGAAGATATGCAGGAAATAAAGTAATGAAAAGAAAAATGTAGCTTTTGAAAAATCTGATTTATAATTTTATTCATTAATCTTATGATTTACCCATTAGGTGTAGTCAGTGTGCTAATTATATAAAGATAAAACATAGGTTTTGCCCTTAAAGCAGTGCTTCTTTACTCTTTTAGAGGTCAGGGATTCCTTGAGAATCTGGAAAATTGAGAATGTCCTCAGAAAATTAACATACACATAAAATTTTGTAAAAAATTTTAAGGAGTATCATTTTTTTCCACCCTTGAACCCTCAATTAAAAATTCATGTCTTAAAGAATTAACAAGATAGTCATGCCGTCTGAGCTATTGATTCTTAATAGTGATGTGGATGTTCCTCTATAAACAATTGGAAATTTTAGAAATCAGAATTTAAATTTGTATAAGAAAAAAGTTCAGTGTATTTTCTGTTAGTAGGAAAGCATTTTCCAGTAATTTGATTTTTCTGGCACCCAAAATAAGTGAAGTAGGACTCTTTAATTTTATTTTGTTGCAGAAGATTAAATTTAAGGTTGAGTTCCACTTTGTTTGCAATAGTTTGAAAAAAGAATAGTTAATGCAGATTTTTTTTTTTTAAATTTTCCTTTTAAGCTTTGTGTCTTGTAAAATGTGAGTTTGCCAAATTTTCTTCATCTGCTACAGATTAGGTATGCCATTGTTGCTGCCATGTGGCGGCGCACCCCGTGCTTCTTAAACGCACTGACTGGAGGTTTATCGCATCACTTGTTCACATGCACGGAGCCTGGTAACAGCCTCATCTGTATCTTGTTAGCTTCATTTTCTTATTTTTTAAATTTCATTATTTATAAACTCAACATTGCATTTAAAAATAAAGGCTAGTTTTAATGAATTAATGCTACTACAAAAAGTCATTGCTAAAATTTTCATACTGAAACAGATTTTAACTTTTGTTAAAATGATCTATGCTTTATTTAAATTGTATTTACAAGCAGGCATTTTTACCTGCCATTTTAACTGTATTTGCCAAATTCTAAATATAATTTTGAAAATTGAAATTGAAGCTTTTGTTTATGTGGCAAAAGTAAGCTTCAGGACTGGGCTGTGTATTTTTATTGGCATGTAACAGTTAATATGAGCTCTACAAGAATTTGTGTTTAAAGAGTTAAAGTGATCAACAGCTACGATTTAAAAAACTGTGTATTAAAACTGTTTTGGTTGGTTCAGTTGTGCAACCTGTTGAATCTTCTTGAATCCTGATTTCATAAGGCCGGTTGGATAGGTATATCCCAAGTTATTGTGTTTATTAGTCTCTTATCTATTGACAATTTTGTTTAGAGAATTCATCTTAATCTTTTTAAACTGTCGTTTTTTTTCCTCCTAAAAGTAATGTTTATGTAAATAATTTAAAATACGAGGGAAAAAAGGTCACTTGTCTATCACCTGTAATGAAACCAGTTGAAACGTATTGTTTTGGTTAATTTCCATTCATCTTTTTCCCCCTATGCATTATATGTTATTTCCTCTCTCTCCAGGCATACTATTTTAATAATTTGGATCACTGTGTTTACTATCTTATATCTTTTTTTCATATAACATCTGTAATTCTCCTGGTCATCAAATAAGTTTTGAAAATGAACATTTTTTCCATGGCTGCAGAGTATTTTATCATGATGGTGATTTTCACCCTTTTATTCCCAGAACAAACTCTAAAACATGTTCTCACTTCCCATTCTGCAATTTAGTAAAGTGATTTGGTTAACTTTAAGACTGTGGGATAATTTTTTGAATTCAAGACTATGATACTTGTGGTTCAATTGCAGTGATTTATTTTATTCACCAACATTTTAAAACCTTAAATATATTTTGTCAGTATGCATGTAGATTTTGATAACTGGGTTTTGGTACTCTGGAGATGCTTACTTAATTTACTCAAGACTTATTTATACAAGTTTAGAATTACATATTAAATGCAATTACATTAAAATTTTTTTTGCTTTTATGTAAAATATTCCATTTGCCATGATATTTTTGTGTCATGTAATTCTCTTTTTCTGAGTTTGGATATGATCAACATATATTCCTAAATTAAACATATATATCTGTATCAAGATCAAAAGCTCTTTTATTTAGGAAATGCCAGTGTGTGTAGACCAGGAGTTTGTTTTGTTACCTCAGTTTGACGTTTAAATGTGTAACGAGGCATTTGCTATGCATTTTCTCGGTATAAGCTGCTTAGGAACTGTTCTTACAGCCATCTCTGTTTGTGTATCCATTTTAACTGTATGGCCCCATAAGCCTTTGAGTTTGTGATGCCTGGTGTTGACAGTGACCCATTTTTATTTTTATTTTTATTTTTTTAATGTCTCTAACTTTCTCTCTCTCTCTTAAACTTTTTCTCTTATCTCTCTCTTAAAAGACCTATTATCTTTGTTGAGACAAACCCTCTATAATACTTAGTACTCAAAAATGAATGTTCCTGAGCAGGAGTATGTTCCTTGGGCAGGTGGAACAGGATTGTCTTTGGAAAAAAAGGAATGAAATATGCATATATATTTAGCATTAATTTAGAATAGGAATCTAGCTTATGTAAAAATTTCTCAAATTAAAAAAAAGTTTACAATAAGCAACTATACTTTTGTTCTTTTTAAAAGATAAAACAACCACCTTAATGCTGCTCAGGTATGCGATTGGAAATCTTATTTACGTAACATTGCAGGAAAATATGAGTTTATAGCAACCAATTTCTTAAATTAGGGATATTAAGTTGACCAAGTATCATAGCATAACTGCAGGGTTCACAGAATTCATCTTTTAAAGTTTGTATTTGATTTGTATATGTAAAATAGCTTGTCAGTTTACTTTTGGACTATCATACTTTGTTAAAATTGCACAGATTATTAGTTTCCAAAGATTATTCATTTCTAATTAAACTTGAATTTTTAAGTAACTGATGCCCCCTTGTGGTGAAAGGTATATTTTGCTTTTGTTTGAATTTGGAGAATGATTATTTTGACTTTAATATAGTGGACATTAATGTTCACAAAGAAGCTGTTGACAATATGTAATTTGAATTTTGTAAAGCTCATTGCCATAAAATTCACAGCCTTACCCTGTATTGTCTCAGAAGTGCATGTAACCAAGCACATACAATGAGACAAAATTTGGAAGCTATTTAATTACAAATAGCATAGGGATTTTCTGATCTTATATATGATTTCTTATGTCTTTGTTTTTGTGTCTCACATAGGTGATGTACAGTTCATTGATTATGAATATTCTGGATACAACTACCTGGCATATGATATCGGAAATCATTTTAATGAATTTGCAGGTAAAATCCAGGGCTTAACTAATGGAACAACATATATAACTTTGAAATGATACTTTTAGAATTTTTTTTTTTTTTTTTTTTTTGGTTTGTAGTTTTTCTTCAGAGAAGTTCACCTGGGAGTAGGAACAACATTTTTTAACCCTTTTCTGACCTTGTTCTTTGTTTTTCTTTATTTCTGGAGGAAGGAGAAGAGATGACCCTTTCTTTAATTCCTTAAGGAAAATAAGAAAAGAAATAATACTTGTGGCTTAGAGTAAGACCTGATGTAGTACAAGGTGCTTTATAAATCTTCTCTCATTTTTTTCCTCCACAAGAATCCTGTCACTTAGGTTATTCCCAGTTTACAAATGGAGAAAGTAACTTACCAAGATCACAGTAAAATACAGAGAACTAAGATTTAAAAATTTTTTTTTAATCATTTAAAAGCCTTTCTTATTTCCATTGTATACTTGAGCTTTAGGACTAAGAAGCTCAATAATTTGTTTTTTTTTTGTCTTTGGCTATGAATAATTGAAAAGCATTCCATTTATCCCTGAAAATTCATGTTTTATCACTGTTAAGTATAAAAGTTTTAGGTTTATGTTAAAAGGAATTAATTTAAAATGCATTTTATGACTATATTTAGAAACACGACATGTTCTAAAACTAAAGATTCCCCCTGGAAATTCCCCCTGGATGGTATATACTTAGTAGGAACTTTTCATTGCTGAATTTATATTTGTATAAATTCATGCATTTCTATATTTTCATATACTTCAGGTTATCAGACTGGGAAAAAGTTGGGGAGGATTTTAATTTACATGTTTTCAGTTATTTTCCTACACTAAACTTTTCATATACATACTATATCCCCACACATGTGCTGTACATATTTTCACATATCTTTGGGAGGGAAAACAGCTGTGCATATAATGAGATATCACCATATCCTTGTTAGTATAATGGGTAGTCACTGCTATGAAAGAGGAAACTCCAGTGATCCTAGTACGATTTTCTGTAGGAAAAAATTGAGCTAAAGCTTGCAAGTTAGGTAGAATTTGAGATGTGCAGATAGAACGAAAGGAAAGCACTGCAGGAAGGAGGAAGAAAATGTCAAGGTGAGTGTACCTGCTTGTAGGATATAAAACTGATGAAGGAGAATTTAGGGCTTGGGTTATAAGACCAGGGAAGTAAAGGTTGGATCAACTTGCAGAATGTTGAGTGCTAGGCAAAATAGTATGAACTTTATTTTCTAGGTTAGCATTTTTCAAACTGCACATCTTAAAACCAAATTTGCAGGGTAATTATTTTAAAGCAAGGAATGGAAAAGAAAAGAAGTAGAAAATATCAGAGTTGGAAGGTATAGTTAGAGTACATATTGTTTTGTGGAACTTAATACTAGGAGAGTATATCAAGTTTCAATATAAAATATTTCTTACCCCGGGCGTAATGGTCAAAATGTTTTTAGAGCTGTAGTTCTAGGAAATGCTCTAAATATTAGTGTGCATAAGAATTTCCTAAAGTGCTTATTAAAAGCACTTTTGATGTTTGTGATGATGAAATGTATTGTGCTTTAGAATTTAAGTTGGAATACATTATGATTTTTTGGTTTATTTTAATAAATGCTATTAACGTCTAGTTAGGATTCCTATAGGGATTTTTTTTTTTTTTTTTTAAAGATTTTATTTATCTGACAGAGAGAGCTAGAGAGGGAACACAAGCAGGGGGAGCAGGAGAGGGAGAAGCAGGCTTCTCGCAGAGCAGGGAGCCTGATGTGCGGGGCTTGATCCCAGCACCCTGGGATCATGACCCGAGCCAAAGGCAGACGCTTAACAACTGAGCCACCCAGGCGTCCCGTCCTCTAGGGATTATTAAATACATAAAGATAATGTGTTTTTAAAATCTTTAGTGTACTTTTTTCCATTTCAGGTGTGAGTGATGTAGACTATAGTCTCTATCCAGACAGGCAACTACAGGGCCAGTGGCTGCGTTCTTACCTCGAAGCCTACAAAGAATTTAAGGGCTTTGGGACTGAAGTTACTGAAAAGGAGGTGGAAATACTCTTCATTCAGGTCAATCAGTTTGCTTTGGTGAGTTTAAATATAAACAATGAAAGTTTTTTTTTTTTTTTGGTAAGATTCTTAATATAATTTTAAAAAGTTTTTAAATTTTCATCATCTTATAAAACAGTTTCCCATTTTGAATTTTGTGCATTTTTGTTCAAAATAAGGACAAAACATTGTTGTTTACAGTTCCTCTGTTGTAATGCTTTTGAGGACAGAGATTTTGTTTCATTCACTTACATATCCCTAACCTCTAGAAAGACAGTGCCTACCCACATGGTAAGTGCCCAGGAATAATTTAATGAATGGATTCTAGTTAGAGTTAGGGTTAATTGTGAAGCACTTCTTTACATTATATCTATTCTCTTTATGTTACAAAAAACATATAATCAAGAACAGATTTATGGGAAATGAGGTTTTCCACAGTACGTTTAATCATCACATCTTAAGGTACTAAAAGTAGATTGGAAGAACCAGTAGAATTATGTTTTCATAACTTAACCAGTATTTTGTCTTTATCTTCTTTTGATAAGCAGTTATTTCAAGACCCACTTCTCTGTACTTTTAAGCACATTTGTTTTTTAAAAAATAGTTCATTTAAATTACAGAATGATGTGATGAATTAGAATGAGCTTTCAGCTAAGGTGTTACACAATTAAATTGAATACTAGTTTGAAGTTATTTTAGCTACTTATTTTTAGTTTTAATATAATTTGGTACAGTTGACATGGGGAATATTTGCTGTGTTGTCTTTACAAATAGACCCTGTTGATGGCTCATAGGTGTACTGTTTCCATTGTCTTAAGAGCAGCATTTTCCCAGAGCCATTCAGAATACATCTCAAATAAGAGGATGTGCTGAAACTTGACTCATCTTCTATTCTGGTATCTATTTTCAGTAGAACTGTTGACTAAACTAATGGCATGCTCTCCAGCTGGCCCTAGGATGCCTGCTGTTTCTATATATTCTATTTAAGCATGATCTTAAAGTAGGGAATGTAGGGTTTTTTTCTTACAGGGTCACTTGATGAGCTTTAGAATCACCCTAATACTTCTGTTTAGCCAGTTTCTATATTAACATGAGGAATATTATTGTTGCTATAATGTATATTTTTATGCACCCATTAACATAAATTATTCCTAATGCATTGAATTTATTAATTTCCACAAAAAGTCCACATACCTTATAAATTCTTAGAGAACCACTGTTTACTATTAGAGAGCTAACTTGGGTTCCTTGTAAACTTTTGATGGTAAAAATTCAACAACTTTGGATACTGTGATATATACATGGTATTGAAAAATAATTCTGGATTGATTATCAAATTGTTTGTAAATATCTATTAATCAGATATCTAGTAATTATTACTTTGGGTCATGTAGATTGGAGGCTTAAAAGAAGAATAAAACAGTGCATTTCTTCAAAGTACTTATAATTAGGAAGGGAAAATAATAATGTACAAAATACTTCTTTTTGGGTAACATTTAACGCCCATCCCTATTTAAAATTCTTAGCGAATTAGAATTGGAGGGAAACTTACTTAACCTGATTAAAAAAACAGTATTTAACCTGATTTTTTAAAAAAGAATATATGAAATGTACAGCAAACATATTCATGAAATGTCACATGTTCAGTAGAAGGTCTTATAGAAAAAGAATTAGAGGATGGTTGAGACAAAAAACTTCAGTACCTTTTTAATAATGCTGCTTATTTAGCATGTCTTCAATTTACATAATCTTTAGTTTTCATGTAATCATTACACAGTAAGTTTATGCTCTGAGATTCTCATACCAGTTTCCAGTTTTTCCCCATTAAGAAACCATTGAGAACCAGTTATGAAGCCAAGTTTCGTTTGAATTCCTCCTCTTATTTAAATTGTGCTGGAATCCTCTCTCTTTTGAGGTAGGTTACTTTCTTGCATCAGGGCCTCTTTTGCTATCTTCAGAATAGAAAGAATATAGCAAAATTTAGATGAATGCTCACATTTGGCTTCAGCCCCTTTTACTGAGATTACTAATTTTCCTGAGATTTGATGAATCTGCCATTCTTTTTCAAGATTGTTTTTGTAGGTTTTTTTTTTTTTTTTTACACTAGCCAGTTTATGTAATTCTCTTACCAACTCTTAATTTCATCCCACAGTCGTTTAGTAAATGTCTGTCACAGTCTCAAGTGTTTGAATTAGTAAATAATTGGGAAGGTAGGGGGAAATAAAAGCAAACCCTCAATCTTTTTTCTTTATCATCTTTCATGCACTCTTCAGACCACTGCAGTCTTGTCTTCTCCTCTCACTATTAAAAAAAAAAAAAAAGTTCATGTCAGGGTTACCAATAATGACATAATTACTAAGTCCAGTTTAGACTGTATCTTTTTGTAAACTTTGTCTTTATCTTACTTGCTCTACCCATATCATTTGACAGTATTTACTATTGATTTTTAGAATTTTCTCTTTCATTGCCTTTTGTGATAACCATTCTTCCTTGGTTCTCCTCATTTGTGTTTTCCTACTCAGTTTCCTTCCTTGACTCTATTTTTTCTTCCTCTTTTCCCAATCCTTTTATAATACTGGTGTTCCCTAGTGTCCTGAATTTGGGCTCTCCCCTCTCCTTTCACTTTATATACTTTCATTGAGTGATCTAATTCTATGACTTTTTTTTTTTAAGATTTTTTTTTTTATTCGTTTGAGAGAGAGCGAGTGAGGGCAGGAGCGGAGGGGGAGGGTCATTGGGAGAGGGAGAAGCAGACTCCCCATTGAGCAGGGAGCCTAACTTGGGGCTCGATCCCAGCACCCTGGGATCATGACCTGAGTCAAAGGCAGATGCTTAACTGACTGAGCCACCCAGGTGCCCTAATTCCATGACTTTTAGTGTCCTTTCTGTTAATGATCCCAAGTTGAATTGCTTTCCTCTGCCAATCTCCCGATTAGTATCTGTCTCTATCTGGTGTTCCTTTTGTAATTGAGCACAGTATGTCCAAACTTGAATTTTATTTCATGCACCCTGTCCTCTGTCCCATTATTTATTCTTTATTCTGTCTTGGTTTAATTAAAATATCATCTGAATTCTGTTTTCTGAAACCAGGAAAGAAGGAATTTTCTTTTACGTTTTGAGTTCCTCTTCATTCTCACATTTTTTCTATTTCCAAGTTCTGTTACTCCCAGTTCCTAAGATTCTCTCAATTCTAACCCTTTCTCCTTAATTGTATGATCTTTGACTAAGCTCTTAATCTCTCACCTGTGTTAGCCTTTGCCGATCTCTTTGCCTCCAGGTTTTTTCTGTCTGTATTTCATCCTGTCATTTAAAAAGTTACCTTTTTAATAACTAGATCTAATTCATGAATCTAATTTTATCACGTTCATACTTTATGGTTTCCTGTGACCTATAGAGTGAAATCCAAATGATAACAGTCTTCAAATTCTTATTTCCCATTTTCCACCTCCCATTTCTGCTCTAGCAGAATCATCTTGTTTTCTGTACAATCCATGATGTTTGAAGCCTATATGCTTTTTTATAATTATTTCTTCCTACCTAGACTGCCCTTTTCCCTGCATCCTCTGACAAGTTCCTCTTGTTCCATTTGGACATGTCTTAAATACCGTTTCCTCCTTTGGGACTCTTCCTTCTTTGATCACTTGTCACGAAGACCTCATATACATTATAAAACTGAAAACTGATATGATAAGTGGGGAAAAGAGGGTTTTTTAAGATTTTATTTTTAGAGAGTGCGTGTGCATGCTCACACGCATGCACACACACACACACACACACAGGCAGGGAAAGGGGCAGAAGGGGAGAGGGAGAGGGAGAGAATCCCAGGTAGACTCCACTCCTAGTGGGCATGGAACCTGAGCATGGAACCCGACCGACGCAGGGCTCCATCCCATGACCCTGAGATCATGACCTGAGCCACGTGGGATGCTCAACCGACTGAGCCACCCAGGTGCCCTGGAAAATGGCTGGTTAAATGTTTGTTTATTGCTGAGGGCATGAGCAGACTTGTAAATATTAAAAGACTTCACGTGTCATTGATTGTTTACTGTAACTAATATTAAGGTGGTAAACAAAAGTAGGTATTTGTACTGTAAAATCAACTAGAGTATACATAATGGGTTTTTAAAGCTGTTCAGAGTCTTTAGACACATTATTTTCAGACTTTGGATTATTTCTAAATGAAATCTTAGAGTTTTTAGGGGTTTTTCAGAAAGGATACATTTTAGTTTATTTGTTCATCATATAAAGCCTTGAATTTTTCTTTGCAACAGAGATGAGTAACCTAGAAGTTAAAATGCCCTTTGATAGACTTACATATCTATAAATTCCAAATCTGAAAAAAATAGGTAAATCACACAGAACATTACATTATTTTATTTGGACTTAAATATTCTCTTTGCCATTTTGGGGAATACAAATGATGAATGGACTCTTTCCTGCATTTCCTTTTCATCCATTTAAGACTCTAATTTTACATATAAATTTTTCATTTTTCACCCTGTAAAAGGTGTTAACCTGCCAAAATGAGATTTTTGTAAAGTTTTATGTATAATTCTTGTCTAGTGTAGAATCATTTATTTATATGAATGAATGCTGCCTGAGGTGGAGGGAAGAGCTGGTTTGATGTTATTTTTAGGTGTAGAATTTCCCACTTTCAGTCTTTCCTACTTACAGAATTAGCTTAATAGGAAGAGATTACAGTAGCATCTACAGATGCTTTTTATATCACTTAAAATATACCTAAGTGATTTAGACTAGTGGATCTTAAACTTTCTGGTCTCAGGATTCCCCCTTTACACTTCAAGATTTTTTTTTAAGACCTCTATGAGCTTTTGTTTGTTTAGGTTAATTGTCAAGATTTATCGTATTGAAAATTAAAACAAATTGAAATTATTAAGTAAATATTTTTTAAAATAATAAACTTCTGGGGGTGCCTGGGTGGCACAGTCCGTTAAGCATTTGACTCTTGGTTTTGGCTCAGGTTGTGATATCAGGGTTGTGGGACTGAGCCCTGCATTGGGCTCTGTGCTCAGCATGGAATCTACTTGAGAGTCTCTCTGCCCTCTCCCTTTACCCCTCTTGCTTGTTCCCCCTGCCAAAATAAATGAGGTAACTATTTTCCGAAACAAAAACAATTAGAAGAATGGCATTATTTAAACTTTTGCAAATCTCTGTAATATCTGGCTTAATAAAAGCTAGATTCTTATATCTACTTTTGCATTTCATCTGTTGCAATATATTGGTTTGGTTAAAGTATATAAAAGAAAGTTGTGTTTCACACACGTGTTGTTGGAAGAGGTGAATATTTTGCCTTTTCAGATAATTGTGGATATTCTCTTTGCTACTTCACCAAAACTCAGCAAGTGATCATTTCTTAAAGGTTAGTTGTAATGTGCAGTCTGAAAACATCAGTTAACTTTTTGTGCTCCAGTACATTATAATCCATTGGTTTACCTTGCACTTTGAATGGCTCTTTTAGTAGTGTGTGATTTTGTAGTTTTAACATTAGTAAGTATTATTTGGAAAATACTGATTTGAGTTTGTATAGATCTTACAAATATTGATACATCTTATATAAAAATATCACATCCATTGATATCACAATCAGTATCATCAGAAAAAGTTTTAAGTACTGTATTGAGAAGCTGTTAAGCTCACAGGGTCAAATACAGATTTTCCAAAGTTCTAATTTTAGGTTGAATACTTGAAGACTATCATTGGCAACAACTACTGTCAATTAGTTTCACTGAAATGACAAGTTCTCTTTTTTTAATCTGAGAAATATCTGCCAAATGTCCAAGTCTAATAACTAGTTCGAATATCAGTTATTCTTTCAAGTAAAAATGATTTTCCATTAAAGATGTACAAGTTCAGTTCACAACTCAGTCATAAATGTTTTTCCTTAAAAGAATCTTCCTCCTTTGGGTAGAAATACAATAAAATGAATAGTTTCGGTGGCTTCATAAAGGACATTCTTTAGTGAGACTGGCCTTTTACTGTGTGTAGTGATGATGTGTGTGTGTGTGTGGATGTTTGGTACCGCTGTCTTGACATATTGTAAGGTACCAGTAGCTTCACCCACCATTGCTTTTTTTAAACCATCGGTGCAGATATTAAGAGTCAAAAAGGCGAGTAACACATTAATAATATTATAAAAAATAGTTTTGGGCCTCAGGAATCTCCCATGGTTGAGAACCACTGTTTTATACTTTAAAAAGAAGGAAGGTGCATCTCATCTCATAATTCACTTCTCAATACCTGAGACATCCTTGGGTAGAAAGAAGACCATTTTTGAAAATTTTTATTATTTTTATCATTCTTATTTATATAATGATATTTATTAGCATTTTATTGAATGTTTGTTACATACTGGATATAGAGACTAGGCTCCAATGAATCTTAAAAAAAAAAACAACTTGTTAACATAAACAGCATTTAAATGAAAAATAACTGTTTTCCAAAACAAAAAACAATTAGAAGAATGGCATTATTTAAACTTTTGCAAATCTCTGTAATATCTGGCTTAATAAAAGCCAGATTCTTATATCTACTTTTGCATTTCATCTGTTGCAATATATTGGTTTGGTTAAAGTATATAAAGAAAGTTCTGTTTCACACATGTGTTTTTGGAAGAGATGAATATCACGTCTTCATTTTACAGATGGGGAAACAAAGGTACAGATGGGTTAATTAAATTGCTCAAAGCCATACAGCTAGTAATTTTTGCAGTTTGACTCCAGAGCTCAGCTTTTTTTTCCCCTAAGTTAACCATTAGGCTTCATGTACATGTACTTTAGGTGTTTACTCTTTACAACATTGTTTATTCTTTCTATATTTGATGGGAAGTTATATATTCTGATAGTGATTTTTTGAGGAAGTTAAAAACAAAATGCAATAATTTTAAAATAGATATTTTTACAGCAACATACTGTAAAGAGATCTTCAGAGGGTAAAATTTTTTTTATATGTATAATTTCTATTGATCTTTAAAACAATCCTGTGTGGAATACAGAATGGCTAATAGAGTCTCATCTTTTTTTTTTTTTTTTTTAAAGATCTTATTTATTTATTTGACAGAGAGAGACACAATGAGAGAGGGAACATGAAGAGGATGGAGTGGGAAAGGGAGAAGCTGGCTTCCCGCAGAGCAGGGAGTCCGATGCAGGGCTCGATCCCAGGACCCTGAGATCACGACCTGAGCTGAAGGCAGATGCTTAACAGACCGAGCCACGCTGGCGCCCCTAGTTTCTCATATTTTAAGTGATGATTGGGACATTAAAAATTTGTGACTTATTGAAGGTTGCAAAAGGAGTTAGTGACAGGACCTGAACTTGAACCCTCACAGTTCTCAATTCAAATTAAGAATCCTTTCTCATACACTGTGTTGTTTTACGTACCAAATTGGGTTGTTTGGTTGTTTTCATACTAAGATCACGGCTGTGGAGTCATTTCTTTTTAGATACCTTTTGTTGTTACTATAGGGAATTTAGCTGAAATAAGACCCTTATCTTTAAGACTTTTTTTTTTTCTAGTTGTAATATTTCTAGTTGGAATAGACTACTTCATGGGAAGTGAAGTTTTATGATTATCAGAATCTTAAAATATATTCGTGTTTAACTGGAAATAGATTATAAAGCACACACACAAGTAGTTATTTTACAATTCCTACACATTCATCTGTTTTTCTCTTAAAGTCTTAAGACCCATTTCTCTCTGACATAAGTAAAATCATGTTACTTTGTGTCATGGTTGGTTATGCAGAATTGTTGGGCCAATAAAAATTGTTTTCAGATGTTATGTCTAGAACATTTTTCATATTTATATTTTGTTTTTGAGATTTGGACTTTTTTGTTTATATTTTTTATGTCAAAAAACAAAGTCTTTTGGTAATTATGTATTTTATAGGAAAGCCTGTTAGCAATTATAACCAACATCTATTAGTGCTTATGCCGAACTCTGTCTCCACAAAGCAGTTACAGGAGTTGGGCGCTTATGTTTTAAGCAGTTATAATATATTCTAACCTCTTTTGGTGTGGACAGAAGTGATCTGTAGCCATCCAGGTAACCGCACACTTTAGTATTACCTGTGTTTTAAATATTTTATATAAAAAAAAGCATCAAGACAGTATTCTGCATGGAGTTGATGAAAAGGGGAAACATTAATTATTTGATAATTGTTTTATAGAGAAATATATTATCATAATTCTTGATTTTCCTTCTCTCCTTTTTAGGCTTCTCATTTCTTTTGGGGATTGTGGGCTTTGATTCAAGCCAAATACTCCACTATTGATTTTGATTTCCTTGGGTAAGTTTAATTGTGCTATATGCATTACATTTGTCCCTGCTTTTTTTTTTTTCTCTTTTGATGTACACGTAGAACCCATAGGGTACACTGTAGTTATTATTTTTAGTCAAATGTTATAAGGGTTGCATACATTTAAATAATTGGTCTGCAAGGAAATCCTGGTATCATCTCTTAAATACTTTATTAGGAAAGTGTCCAGTAGGTGGTGCAATAAACTAAAAATATGTCCTTTGAAAAATCCTAAACCTTTAAAAAAAAAAATTTGTTTAGAAGGGTGAGTGGAAAATGAAGAAGGATTAAGTTTTTCATTTTTTATTAATTCTGTTGTTATTCATTTCTCACTAGGTATGCAATTGTTCGTTTTAACCAATACTTTAAAATGAAGCCTGAAGTTACTGCATTAAAAGTGCCTGAGTAAAGAAGAGATTTGATTATTCTCAAGTAGCTGAACAATGCTTGTGTATCTTTTCTTAAGAAATTTTGAAAAGCCAATATTTGTTAAAATTCTGTTGTTTAATTTGGTTATCTTGCTTTACAAATTATGCCTCTAAAAACCAATCTATTTTTTAAATAGAGTGAATGATATCAAGAAGTATACCTACTGCTATCAGTATGTGGTGGATTAGAAGTTTGTTAAATCTGCAAAAAGGTATAAATATGTCAGTTTAATCCTTTCTTTGATAATTTAATCTATGTTATATGTGAATTATTTATTATAAATTTAACATAATTCTGTGACTGCTTTCATCTGTTTCATCTGTTGGTTGAGTGTAAGCAATGAAAATGTTCCAGAGAAAATTTTTTTAAAGTTTTACTTTAATAATATTAATTTTAGCAAAAAATCTAGGTGTTCAGTGTAACCTTTTTATCTTGATACACTATAAGAAATATGAATCATTCACTCTTGAAATGCCAGATACTGGTATAGATAGCTTAGGGTGTTCATAGAAAAGTATCTGTGTATGAGGGTAAACTACATTTACTGTCTACGTTTAGTGGTACATCTTTTTGAATTGAATATTGGAAAGTGTTTTTCTGGGGGGGAATATATCTTAAAATTAAATTGTCCTTTCCATACATAGTCTGGCAGTATAAATAGTAATATTTACCTATAATCCTGGAATAGATATGTGATTTTATGTTATGAAAATCTGCATTAAATAATGTTTTCATATACTAAATATGGTCATTTAAGTTGCTAGTTCTTAAAATTTGATATCACATTTTTTTAAACCAAAAATTTTGTTTTACTTATTGAAATATTCTGTGTTTTTGTCTGTTTAGCTAGTAGAACAAATGCTAATTTTTGAAACAAAGAATGATTATCATACTTGGGAACAAGAAAATAGCATTTAGATAGATTCTTTTTTACCTTTCAAGATTCATTCCTTAAGACTTTGTTTCATGTTTTAGTTTGGCTCCGTCTTTAGAGTGATAGCAAATGATTACGTGATATATGTAGCTTCAGAGAAATAAAATTAAAAGCAGTTAAAAGAAATAAGGAACATTTAGGACATTGATCTGATACACTTAAAATCTAACAAAATGTGAATTAAACAGAAATATTCATGGTAGGAGGGCTTCTGTTCTAGTTTCTCTTGATTTTGTTTGTGTATTTTTTATTTCGTTTGGGAATGAAAGGGTGGCAATTATATGGAAGGAAGTTAGATCTTTGCAATAAGTAGGCTTCAAGTTTTGAAGACTGCTTGCTGCTGTGTGGAGTTGAGCAGTCATGGTTAACTTTACTTAGAAAATTAGTCTGACAAGCTTTGCACTTCGGTCACATAAGTGCCCATGTACAAAGTTGACTTAATGAATCTGCATATTCAGAATATGCAACTACAAATATATCCTCTGAGAAATCTTCTGGGGAGTTTGATGTATTATTCCAAATGACTTATATTCTCAGATAAGTGCTTTAAAATACTTGGATTATCTCAAGGTGTTTAAAGCTAATAAAGTAAGTAGAAACACTTAAAGGCCATTTTAAATGGTAAATTCTAGTTACATAAATAGAATCTTAAAATCTGCTTGTGTCTATAACAGTGTTAGACTAAGATTTGTTTTCTACCTCCCCAATGTTACAAATGTTCACTTCTGTTTTTATAAACCATATTACTATAGGATCAGTAGAATTTTACCTAATTGACTGAATGGAACCAATTAAACAATTAATAGCTTTTTACATAATGTTAGAGTGAGCTTGAAGAATTGTTTTTGGTGGAATTTTCATCTGTGGTTGGAACATTTTCTTAGGACAATGAATAATATGTAATACCCTTGATTTATTTTTTATTTTTTATTTTTTTTGTTTTCTAACTTTACTAAAAGTGCAACAGTATATATCTTGGAGAACTATGGGAGGAGAGAAGACCAGTTTTCTACCTAACTCCATATTCTTCCAAATACTTTGAGTAGAGATTCACTGAGCCTTTGCTGGTAGATTGTGCATAACTGCTAGCTGTGATACTCAGAGAGGTTCATACCGAACTGAATGTAAAGGTGAAGAGAGGCTCTCACTTTAGCCCTAGGAGTATGCAGTGGAAGCTGGAAACGAAATGAGACATTTAAGATATTTTCCCCACTCTGTGGCTAGATTTTGGGTGTAATGATGCTCCCACATCCTGTACAGGTTTTTGGGATCATGCTGCAGACTAGTAAGAGGATTCAAAATTGCTTCCCTTTTTATTGACCATTTAAAGGATTCTAAAGGAAAAACATCCCTCTGAAATTTATCCTTTGGCTTGCTGAGATAGTCTGTTGCCTTTTTATGTTAAGCTAAGGAACTTGAATGCCTTACCTAATAACTCAGCTGGTAGTAAGTTCATTTTGTAAATAATGAAAATGGTTGTTAGAGAAGTGGCATTCATGTATACTCGTTGTTAGTCAATAGACCATAGTGGCCTGGATGCTTTAACAAGCAAAATTCCACATTTTTTCCTTTTGTTTCTTACATACTTGTATGATCTTACCTGACCAGTAATATATATATATATGTGTATATATATATATATTTTCTTTTTTTTTTTCCCTCCTGACCCCATGCTACCACCTGATTTTCTGGAAATCAGAGAGATGTGGTAGTAAATCATACTGTTCACATGGTCATTTGAGATCAACATGAGCACAAAACTCAACTAGGTCTGCCTGGAATGTATATAAAACGGTGTAAATAAAAATTTGTAAATTAGTGTGAATTGTATGTTGCATATGAGATTGCGTATTGTTTTGCATTCTCTTTTGTAGATTTTTTTTTTGGTAAGCAAATGATTCAGCTCTTTGGTTTTAGACTGGAAATAGCCAAAAGTTCTGGCTGCACAGTGGGATAACAAGAGGAACTGGAAAAATAGGGTTTATCAGTTTTTGTTAATGTCAGTACTTATTTATTTAGCCTCTCAGTGCCTAATACGACTCCTTCATTCTTTAGTTGGCCATTAGTTTTTGTGAGATTAGGTTCCTATAAGCAGTAAATTAATACACTGCTAGAGCTCCTTTCTTTGAGTCATGATTCTAAGCTAAAGCAAATTAAAAATATAATGTGATGATTGCAGATTGAAGTATTATCCTTTCCTATTTTCAAGGTTAACTTTTTTTCTACAAAGAAGAAAAAACCTTGAAATTTTACATGTCTCTGTGTGAATCTAAATCCCATATATATGAGATATGATAATAGCTCTTGGTTCAACTTAAGCATATCTCATTTGGCTTCTCTAAATATGAAGTTGTTCATTAGGGGATTGTAAAAGACAGAAAAGACGTAAGTCATGAGTAATCTTTTAATGACTGCTATTTTCATCTTTGCTGAACTACAAATATTTATTTCAACTTATAAATATGTTACTAAGCTTCCAGAATTAAAGGAAAAAAATTCCCCCAAGCACTCACAGTTAAAAATTAAAAACCTTCACTTTATATAGGTTATCCTTTTTTATATTACACAAAGATTTCTGTATCATTTTTAATTACTTCATAATAAGAATGAGAATACTATCAGTTTGATTTTCTGCTTTAAATTGCTTTTAATAAGCATTTTAGATGCATTCCAAAGTGATAGAGACTTAAGCTTCTAATATTAATCAGTCATTCAGTTGATAGACAAAGTTACCAATGCTTTATGCTAGGAGGAGAGTTTTGTTATTGGCAGCAACTTACACCACTTTCTTCAAAAGGCAAACACAAGTAATTATTATGCACAAAGGAAATGAATTATAAGTATGTGGTAAAGCAGCTTTCTCTTTATTTCAGAATTGATGTGCTCTGATTTTTCTTCCTTAGTTCATTAGATTTAGAATGTCCTTTGACTGGAAATTTAGCTACATATTAAAGCAATCTGTTTTGCTTTTCTTTTCTTTCTTTTTTTTTTTTTAAAGATGTAGTTATATTAAACCACCTTTTTTTCCCCCAGTTACATATCACTTGTGTGATTACAGTGTTATGTCTTGGTTTTGATGTTTTTGGACAGAAAAGCATATTTTAAATGATATTTTCCCCCCCATCTTTGAAGCTTAGTCTGTAAATGTGTTGATATAAAAGAAAATGCTTGGGTTTGCATTACTTGAATACTTGAAAACTGAAATTAGTAAGGTATCTTACATAATGAATTAGATTTTTCTTTTTTTTTTTTGAATTAGATTTTTCTGAACACAGTTTTTACACAAACAACTTTCATTTCTGGATCATAATTTGAAATAGAAGGTTTCAACTCTTTGGAAAAAAATGACAGGCTTATAGAAAAATACCCTTTTGTGTTTCAGGCATCCCAAATTCAACTTTTTTGTAGGTTTCTGTCCTAAAACCTGCTTTCTCTTTTCTCCTGTACTTAATGCACTTACTATGCTATAGATGTTATCAAACAGCAGGTTAAAGTAAAATCTCTGTTCACTATGAATCTTTCAGCTTTTCTAGTTATGAAAAATTGCTCTGTAAAATACTCTTAATCCCTAAATATAGGCATATTTTTGTTTACATCTTACCCATTAATGGTATAAATACCATTAATCATTTTAACAAAACACAAGATGTTTATAAAAATTGAAAACACGTTGTATTTCAGCTAGTTAGTGAAGGGTAAAAAGAAGCTGGCTTTGAATTCTTTCATTAGTTAAATTTCAAAACTCTTTAATAAAGGAATTTTCAGAGATAGGTTGAGACCCAGTAGTATCCATGTAAACTAGCTTTTATGGCCTGGAGAAAACGCCCAAAAAACAGTAGAGGAGACGAGAAGATTTACTTGCCATGGTTGTGGTGTGCTGCTACTTCAATTTAGGTAGTGACACACTGAAATTTTATTGTCCAGTAATCTGAAGAAATTCCCTGTTGTTTATGTGTACTAAACTAACTATAAATTGGTGGAATCTGCTAAGAGGAAACTTTTTAACTGTACTGTATTGAGGAACCTTTTTACAGCTGGGTGAAGTTTCCATGATACGAAGTATTTGAATTTTAAAATATACTGTTATCATAAGAAATAAGACATGGCACTATTCCATGTTCTCAAGTAATAATTTCCTTATTGAGTTTCAGAAGAAAAAAACAAAATGAATAATTGTAAC